TAAATGGGGCAGTGGCTCTAAGCGAATATGATACAACCACCTTTAAGTAAGAACAGAGCATGGAAAATTCACGACAGCCAGATCCTATTCAGCATGTCAGATGGTTATTCAAACAACAAAAAAGCCCAAGAGTCCACCTCTAAGCGGCCACATCACTCAGCGTGAGTGCACCCTGAAGAGCCTGCTGTGTATCTTCAGAAGTAATTCAAACCATTAACCACAACTGAACACGTGTTGGAGGGAAAATCCGAGGAAGGCAGAGATCTGTTGCAATAATACAATAAAATCCCCACTTCCTGTCACCTGGAAATGTTTAAAGCTGACCAGCTCTGGTTCAGAGGCAGAGAAACAGGCTGGAGGTTCAATACCAGAACAGGCCCCTCAGGGAGGAAAGAACAGCAAATGCATGTCTGGAAAATGAATAATGTGCCTTCTACCGGAGAAAGAAAGAGGATCCCCTGAACGGCTGACTCCTGAAATACAGATTTTGGTGAAAACACGGCACTTCCTGATGGAATCCTAATCATCCTCTGAGGCAAACGTGGGAGACTGAGGGTTAAATCTCTCACAAAGTCAGAAAAAAACACGCACAACTCATCTAAGATGGAAGGCTGTTTCCGGCTGGAAGCTACCCATTTATTTCTGCAGGGATGAAACTGAGAGTTCAAGCATCAACATCACTGAATCAGAGCTAATAAGCACTCATATGTGACTTTTAGACAACAACCTTCATTTGAATCTAGGGGGCCGTGAGGTCTCTAAAAGACCAGAAACTCAGAGGAGTGAGGCACAAACAAAGGGCTGAAGCTATATTTGATCCTTGTTCTGAAAAGAACGCTCATAAACAGGCCTGGTGCTGAACATAAACACAGCCTTCATCGCAAAGCGTGGATAAAGGACGAGTCGAACTAACTTGTTTCTTTTATGAGATTAAAGGAAAGATGTGTTCCAGTAATTTTACTGTGTGTGTTATTCTGCTGGTCACATGCTGGAACACGGTCAGGAACAACACTCAGGAAGGCTGTGGTGTTTAAAGGATCCATGACACCACCATCATCCTGAACCATACAGGGCAGGATGGAGCCGTGCTTTCATGTTGTTTCATGCCAAATTCAGACTCTATCTTCCAAAAGCTGCAGTGGAAATCGAGACTCAGAGATTTTGGTAAATATTGACATGATTCAGGATTCAGGACGAGAATCTCCTGTTCAGTCTCCCGCTTTATTGGATTGAGGTTTGGTGACCGTGGAGGCCATTTAAGTATAGTGAACCAGTCTGAGGTGATTTCAGCTCTGGGCCATGGTGTGTTATTCTGCTGGACAATATTCAAGTAGCCAGTGGTGTTTTGAAAACTCACCCAGAAGTGCAAGCCCAGCTAGCTCAGTCGGTAGAGCATGAGACTCTTAATCTCAGGGTCGTGGGTTCAAGCCCCATGTTAGGCGTTAGTGTTTTAGGACTTTAGTGTTTTAGGACTTTACGGTCTAGTACAGATAATTGCTATAAAGTCTGCCTAATTGTGAAAGCTGTTAGTCAGAATGTATTAATCTGCACACTATGTAATCCACAGTTCATCCAGTGTGCAGATTAATACATTAATACAAGCTGGTGGCTTAGTGGTAAATGACTGGTACTTGATAGGAGCTCTTGCAATGACTTCTTACCACTAGCCTCACTCACACACAGAAGCTTTATTAACCAAAAGTTCACATTCAGAGGATTCATTGACTGTCAAGAATTTATCAACATGCAGACTACAGAATCTGAGGATTCAACCAAAAACCTTCACAATTAGGAGACAACCTCCACACCAAGATTCAGTATGATGCCCAAAGCTTGTTTTTCAGCAGCTTACATGACAGTAAACTGATGTAAGTTCTGTCTTAAAAGAGAATCGCCCAACGTGGGGCTCAAACCCACGACCCTGAGATTAAGAGTCTCATGCTCTACCGACTGAGCTAGCCGGGCTTACACAACCTAAACTACTTTCATTTCCAGGGGTACAACATACCATATCAGCAGGTCATCATCTTGACCACATCGACATGAATAGATGCATCAATTTACTGCCAGGTGGCTGATTAGATATTTGAATCACTGCAGGAATTTTAATTCATTACTCAAGAGAAGAAAATGCAAGTCTGGCTCAGTTCCCATGTAAAAAAAAAAAGAATGAAAACAAAGGTTCTAACACACCAAAGTTCTAAGAATGACAAAATAATTAGTGGATCTACAAACAAATAAATAGTACAAAACACTGTGTAAGGATGGGCAGATGGATTTTTGCTAGATAAGCTCAACAAGTCCTAATGGATGTTGCTAAGTAATAGGCTAATAAGTAATAGCGCCATAATGCATTAAGTAAAAACACTTAGGAAATAACTTCCTCAAAACAGGCCTTAGTTTAGTGCCTGTACACATTAATAATGTATTTTCACAAGTGTTATCTAATTGGCTGTAGTCAGGGCATCAGTAACTGTAAGTGGACTAAAAATACCTTTGGGGGAAAGGGGGGATTATGCATGTAAAAAGCCCTTGAAAACCAGAAAACTAGCCTTTGTGGCCACAGCAGAGCGCATGCCTTTGTCACCCAGCACAGCATCGCCCCTCCTTTGTCTTTGCTTCAAGCCCTGAAGTAACTCTGTGTACGAGTGTACGAATGTGTTTATGTGTGTACAGTTAGGCATCTGTGTGTGTGTGTGTGTTGTGCTGTGTGTCCCCTGTTGGAGCGTTTATGCTTATTTAGTGCTCACCGCTCTTCGCCCTTATTCCTCGATGATTCGCTTATGTAAGAAATCAGCGCAAGCCTCTCTGAGCACCGTCTCCAATGAATACAGCAGCTACACAAACGCACATAAAAGAAGCCTATTATCTAATCACTGTTCACCCAGGCTGGAGTCTAGACTTGAAAGGATTCACAGAACTGGACTCAGTACATTAGTTCATAACAGAGCACTTATTTTCAGTGGCCGAATCTTGAAGTCATTCCACTTCCTGGATCGCTTACACTGGTAGAGGCCTCACTTTAAGATCCTATCCAATCCATGCAGATAAAGCTGTCATTCTGATTGGCTGCTTAATGTAAACAGAAGGTTTGTACTAGAGGTGGGTGGGGCTTCTGTGCTCTGCACTCACTGACATCATATAGAGTTATTGGTAAAAAAAGAAAAAAGAAAAAAAAAGAAATCTGAAACCAAGTGTTTAGAGAGGTCTAAAGCTACTGTCATCATCTGAGGATTGAACCACCAACCCTTGTCAAGGAGGAAACAACCTCCTCTATGCCCTGAACGATTAGACCTTCGACTTGATGCATCAGGACTCGGTGTTACGCCAAAGGAAGCTTCTCCTCTGCAAAGTGGTAGGAGTGTGGCCTATTCTACCTTCTGAGTAACAGATTGCACATAAGCCAGACTTTATAGTAATTACTTGTAGTTTGCTGAGCCCCTTTTCCATTAGTACTTACTGAGATCGCCACGATTTTAAGGGTTTTCCATTAGGTCATAGTACTTTGTACTAAATGGTGCCTGCTCGCTCGGGCTTCCAAGCAATCTGAGCAGGTCATGCATCCCACCGATTGGCTGGTAAGTGGCGTCACTCAATGAGTGATTAGAGTGTCTCATTCACAAAAAATCAAAACGTCCATTTCTGAAACCCGGCAATGAGGAAAATGGCTACAGAAACACGATGTGGTAGATACGTGAAAAGCCACAGACCGAGCAGCAGGTATATTGTTGCCTCGACGTCCACATTTGTTGAAGCGTTCATGACTCATACCAATTATTTCACAGGACGCTGGGCTATGTTGCTTTGACAACAACCATTGCTTGATTGTAATGGTAAACCAGTTGAGTAAATCCAAGGAGGTATAAATGGAAAAGGGGCATTAAACTGTAAACCACCCATAATAGGTTCTGTCTTAAAAGTGCAGCGCCCAACGTGGGGCTCGAACCCACGACCCTGAGATTAAGAGTCTCATGCTCTACCGACTGAGCTAGCCAGGCTTACAAAAGATTAAACACTTTTGCCTGTTGGGAACATATAGATACAAATAAACAACAGATTAAATTTTACTGAATAAATAATAAAGATTTGGATGACAACCAGACAAGTGTCTAATTCCTTTGCCCCACCCCATTTTTCGGACCACTATCCCCTGCCTCTTGCTTAAATAAAACATGGTAGAGAGCCAATAATGTGCACAAATCCCTCCAGGTGGCTGAGTTGGCTGGATTCACATTGCAGCAGGCCTCCATACTGGGAATATGAAATGAATTAATTAATTAAATTAAACACAGGAGCAACAGGAGCATCCTCGGGAGCAGAAGCAGCAAGAGAGGAGCCACAATAATAAAAACTTACTCATCTGGAATCTTTTTGATATGACTGAGGCCTGTTTCACGGTTAAAGACATGAAAGCACAGCTTGGCCAATTTAATTCAGTATGGACGTATTAAAATATCTGCAGGAATTCCAAAAATTCCAAAGTCAGGTACGCAGAGACAGAAAAACGGGGGGGACAGACACGTAGAGACAAAGTGGATCCTCTGCACACGCTAATCCCCCCACACCCTGCACACCTCCTGCATAAGCCCCGCTGCTCTTTTTTTCTAGCCGCCACAAGCTAGTTTGCAGCCAAATCCCACAACACATTCTCCCAACTGCTGACATTTTGTTGCAGCCAGTGAGAGAGAGAGAGAGGGGAGGAGAGGCACCTGACCAACCGCACTGGGAGAGATGGAGGGGGGGAAGCGACGATCACGATTACAGGAGGGAGAAAATGGTGTGAAACCCGGCCGTCCTAAAGAAGCATGCAGCTCTTTCCTCTCGATTATCAAAGGGCTTCGTGTTTTCTGCGCGTGCAGCTCCGTGATGCAACAGCAACAACAACAAATGCGCCCTCCCTTTCCCTTTCCCCCGTGTACCAGCTCCCAAGGGGAGCGGGGGGCATGTGTCCACACCATCGCTGTCAAACGCAAAACCGATTTTTAGACGCCCCCTCTTACCTGGCTTCGGGCTCTCCCGTCACCTTCTCCTCTCCGCTTCTCCTCTCTCGGTTATTTAAACGCTTCTCACCGTTTCTCCTTCTCACCCTGCTCCGCATTTCATTTCGGAACGACCGTGTTGGAGGCTCGGGCCGGAGGGAGGATGGATGGTTGGATGGAGAAGAGGCGGAGCGGGCAGAGGAGCGGAAGCCTTTGAAGTGGAGAAATCTGGGTCCCTGCTCGCGTGGACCGGATTTATGTCGTTTCCAAGGCAGCGTCCGTCTAACCCGATGACCGCCAAGCTGCAATCTGGCGTACTGAGAAACCACTTCCGATTTGTCCTTCAAAATAAAAGTCTACTCTTTTTTTTTTTTAGGTTTCTTACACACAAGTAGGTAAAACGTATTCACACGGCGCGTTTCAAAGATACAAATCACAAAGTGCTTAACAATAATATAAAGTAATAATTCTTCTGAATCTGAAATACTAAAGAAACAATAAAGCATTTACAGTGCAGGTGATCAGAGGCACTCGAGATACAGTAACTTACTCAAGGATACGTCAACATGTAGAGTAGAGGATTTCGGAATGAACCACTGGCCTTCCGATGAAAAAAAACAGCCTTATCTATGGATCGGGATTAATTACACTCTGCAGACTGGAAGAACCAGAACTTGTTCCTGCTTCCACTATAAGCCAGACTTCACAGTAGATCATTGTAGCTTCGTAGCATCATACTTGTGAATGATTTAAGGTCATAGCACAAAACACTAACACCCAACGTGGGGCTCGAACCCAGACTCATGCCTTTCCGACTTAGCCGGGCGCGGACACTGGGGTGATAGTGGACATAGAACTGAAAGTAAGTACACTGGTTGTCTTGTGAGACAAAATACATCCTCTTTACTGCATGGGTCTGTAACCAGCTGTATCCTTTTACTGTCCATTACAAGCTTTTCCATACATCCACTCTCTTCTGCCTATCCCAGCAGTCATAGGGCGAGAGCTGGGGTACACCCTGGACAGGTCGCCAGTCTGTCGCAGGGCTAACACATACAGACAGACAACCATTCGCATTCACATTCACACTTATGGGCAATTTAGAATAACCAATTAACCTAACCCCACTAACTGCCACAAGATAAATAATATCAGCAGGGTGCCATTTCAAGGTAGTAACACTGTGAACAAACAAACAACAACAACAACAAAAAAACAAGAAAAAGGGAAAATAAGGCAATTTTTCCATGATTTTATCATTTCATCTGTAACTATCAGAACAAGAGCACTCACACAGTATAACTCTCTCCACAGGGTAAGAGCTATAATAAAACTGGATTTATTACGTTTTTATTACAATATGACGACATCAGCCTGCTTTTATATTTCCACATAAATGTGGCCGTGACCTCTGATCTATGTTGGATTACATACTAAAATGGTGTATTTTTCTGTCTTTAACTATCAGATTGGAGAAGAGTTGGCTTTAAAACTTAACCAAAGTAATCCAAAGCTTAGTATGTCATTGTGACGTTTGAAGACAAAGAAAATTGTGGGTAATATAAAACTTTGAGTGGTTTTCACATTTGATGTGGCCCCGACTCAAGCTACTATTGGTTTCTACTATATCACAAAATTTGAACATGATAAACAAACTAACAGGTCATTACACATTCCTTCCTTTCTTAGGGAGAAATATCAGCACTGGGTCACAGCTACGATTCAGTGACATTTCATGGTAGTAACAACATTAAAAAGAAGTATGATTTTTCATGTTTTTGTCATTTCAGCTATTAAAAAAATAGACTGGTCAAGCACAGGATATTGTGCTATAACAATTTTCACATTTCCACATATGCTACAGGCCAGGTAATTCTACATTCTGAATGTGCAGTCTCCTTCAGATTTACATTTTATACGAGCTAAAATGTCCATGACTTTTTGTATTTTTAAGAGGGTGTTAAAAAAAAGCATTATAAAACAAATGACATGACTATTTCAAAGCATGAATTTCATTTCATGGATTTTAGATTACAAAGGAATTTTAATGAAATTTGCTGTGAAATAATTAGTGAAATCTGGGAAAATTACAGGGGAGGAGGGACATGAAATGAAAGCCTACAAAAAAATCAACGGGAAGAGGCAAGTCTGATGGCTAGGGCCCAGTTATTTTATTGTTGTATTTTCTATTTTGTTTAAGTTGTTTTATTAGTTTGGCTTTTTATGTTTATTTGAAGTTTTTATTTTGTTTTTTAAATTAAGTTTCGTTTCAGAGTGGATTGTCTTGTTACAGTTTTAGTTTTAGTTAACTATAATAATCCTGCCATTTTTTGCCAGCTGAGCTAGAAACATAAACTACATCTCATCATGTCCTTTAGTTTATCTGTTTTATTATTTACTCCCCACCTCCACCCCAGCCTCCTCTTCTGTGCGGACTATGATGCTCACAGAAGGATAGCAGCAAGAGTTAAACGTTTACAAGATGGTAGTGAGAGCAGCTAAACGCTGGTCTGCATAAATATATTTACCTACATTTTTTCAATCATTTTAAGACCTTTATGCTGACAGCGGAGGCCCTTTAACAGCCGCCGTTTCTCGCTGCTACCTTCCGCTAGCTTGACGCAGCTGTCAAATCAGAGGGCTGCAGCAGATTGGCGAAAGAGCGCGTGCGCTGTCCGAAGCATTCCGACGATTGCCGGCGGCGGCCGAGGACCACCACCCACACTCCGCGTAGCAGAGCGTGGATGAGCAGGCAGAGCCGCCGCAGGCCTCCGGGAATACGACACTTCCATTTAAATACACGTCGATCGGAGGCTCGTTTCTCTTTAATTAAGGAAGAACAACTAGAAAGTATAATCTCTCTCTCTTTCTCTCTCTCTCTCTCTCTCT